CAGTAGCTATTGTGTCCGATATATGAGGTGGATGGGATATATTTTCTTCTAAATACATTCCTCCTAGGGTTTCCTGAGATGGGCTGGAGGTTTGAGGTTGTAATTTGGTCTTTCATTTTGTCATTTTCCTATATTTCTGTGTTTCAAGTGTTATTTGAAAGCTTCCTCAGGATCTGTTGAAAATCCCCTTCTGTGTTTGCAGCTACTGAGACTCTGGCACCATGCTACCCCAAGCCATTGGGCCTGCAGAACCAATGGCCCTCCTCTGCTTGTTCAGAACTCCGCAGTTCCAGACAAGCTGGGCCTCAGGGACACTGTGCACCCACCTGCCCTTTGGAAGCTCCACAGCTCTTCAATCGCAGCCGGGTTAGGGTACTCACCACAGGCCACAGTGCCTCAGGAGCCTGTGATCCCTCCCTGCTTGCAGATATTCAGTCCTCCAGACAAAGGAAGGGACTTCTGCAGGCACTCCAGATCCACCCAGCTCCTCCTCTGCACACTGATGGCTTGGCGCGGCTGGGCTCGGGGGATATTGTAGGCCCGCCCACCCGTCGGGAGCTCAGCAGACCTCCAAGGGTAGCCGGGATGGGGAGGCGGATGTAGTGGCCTCTAACCCACTGCTCCACTTCACTGCACCCAGAAGCCTGGGGGGTCCGGAACAGTCTGAGATTTGGGCAGAGTGTGCTGGGCACTCACCACAGGCCGAGGTGCCTCAGGAACCTGCGATCCCTCCCTGCTTGCAGAGATATTCAGTCCTCCACACCTCTGTTTGTTTCTTATACTGTTCATCCAGGGATTCTATCTTTTTGTTTAGTTCCTCCAATTTTTAACTGTGTCTTCTTTAGATATGTTCAGCATCTCCTTCATTTGTTTTATCATTTCTTCTTTTACCTGAGAGATTATTTCTAGTTTGAATTTCTTTAAAGCTTCCCAGAGTTGCTTCTTTATTTCAGTTACTATTATTTCAGGTATTTCAGGTATATGGCATGTATTTTCTTCTATGTACATGGCTCCTAGGCTTTCTTAGGATGGGCTGGATGTTTGAGATTGCATTTTGGTCTTTCGTTTTGTCATTTTCCTATATTTCCGTGTCTCAAATGTTGTTCCAGAATTTCCCCTGGGTGTGTTGGAAATTGTCGCTTATGACCTGGGCTCTTGGGACTCCTCTGGTAGTGTAGCTCCCTCCTTGGGCAGCAGAGCCCGTGGATTAAAAGAGAGTTTCCAGGCTTCTCTCAGGTAGATCTAAAGCCTCTTCAAGCTGCACAGTTTCCCCCTCTGGTAGCAAAGCTCTCCTGAGGGAAAGAAGGCCACGGTGTGGTCCAGGCAATCCCAAATCCTGCTAAGCCCAATCTAGTGTGACTGCAAGCCCAGCGGACCCCCAACCCACCAAAGCCAGGATCTCATACTCTCCCAGGGATTGGATGTTGTGTAGTCATCCAGCTCCTTGGATGGCAAAGCTCCCCAGGCTGATAGAGGGTCCCCCTATGGCCTACGTAGGCCTGAAACCTCCTTAGCTGGGCTGCTCCCTCCTCCAGGCAGTGGCAGTAGTGCTGGTGCTCTCCAGGTCAAAAGAAGTTCATAGAAGAGGCCAGAGCAGATTCCAGCGGCTCAGCCCAGCTCTCTCCTTCCTCATAGCAGCTGTGGTGTGCTCCTCCAGCTGGAGAGGCAGAGAGGCGGCAGGCAGGGCTGAGCGGACTCCCCATGCTCAGCTGTTGTCTCTCCTTCCCGCCGGCCCCTGTGGTGTGCTCCTCCTTTATGTTTTTATGTGGGATTCTTGTCATGAATAAATGTTGGACCTTATCAAATCTTACTATATCTATTGAGAGGATCATGTGATTCTTATCTTTGGTATATTGATATGGTGGATTACATATAATTGATTTGCATATGTTGAACCATTGATTTGCATTTCTGGAATGAATCCCACATGTTCATGGTGTATAATCTTCTTGATGACTTGCTGCATTATGTTTTCCAATATTTTATTGAGTATTTTTGCATCTATGTTCATTAGGGAGATTCACCTATAGTTCTCTTTTTTGGTTGGTTCTTTATTTTTGGTAGGATGATACTTGCTTCCAGGAATGTGATAGGGAGAATTGCTTCCCTTTCAGTTTCACTGAAGAGTTTGAGTAGTGTTGGCATTGTCTTCCTTGAATTTGTTGTATAATTCAGCAGTGAATCCATCAGGACGTGGGCTTTTCTGTGTTGATAAGATTTTAGTTACATTTTCAATTTCATTAAATGAAATTGGGTTATTCAGCCAGTTTCACATATTCTTGATTCAGCTTTGGTATTATAATGTTTCTGAGAATCTGTCCATTTTTCTGTGTTTTATCAAAACTGTGAGGTAAAGATTTTTCAAGCCAGGTATTGCTGATCTTCTGTATTTCCACAAGGTCTATTGTGATTTCACCCTTTTCATTCCTTATTGCATGAATTTGAGATCCTTCTTTACTTTTTAAAATAAGACTGGCTAGGGACTCATCAATTTTATTTCTTCTTTCAAAGAACCAACTCTTTTATTCATTAATTCTTTGTACTGTTTTCTTAGTCTCCATTGCACTGATTTCCACTCTGATCTTCATAATTTCCTCCCTTCTTTTTGTTTTCGGTTTGACTTGCTCTTCTTTGCAACGTGTTTAAGATGTAGCTTCAGGTTTTTTATTTATGTTCCTTTTGATATATATTGGTTCATTTTTGTCATGTCTTCTTTCTGCTATTAGTTGCTTAGTTTTCCCCACTGTTTAACTGTTTGCCTTGCTTAGTGACCTTTTTTCTATTGGTATTCTTGAAGTTGTTATTTTTATGTGTATCTGGAATATCTTTCATTATTCTTTGCCAGGTTGGTTTGGTGGTCATGAAGTTCTTCAGCTGTTCTTTGAATTGGAAGTATCTAATTTCCCCATCCATTTCGAAGCACAGTTTTGCAGGGTACATAAATCTGAGTTGGGAGTCATTTTCCTTAGGATCTGATATACCTCACTTCATGCTCTTCTTGACTTTGTTGTTTATACTGAGAAGTCTTCTGTGATTCTGATATGCTTTCTTTATAGATGATCTGTCTCTTCTTTTTTTATCTGTCTCTTCTAACAGCTTTTAATATTCTGTTCTTACGTTGAATTTCTTAGATGTTGATTATTATAAGTCTGGGTGTAGTTTTATTTTGGTTGTGGTTATTCGGAATTTATATGCTTCACTTATCTGCATTCTAAACTTCTATTCCCACATTTGGGAAATTTTCAGCTTTTACTTCTGTAAAGTCTTTTGATATCATTTGTGTTGTCATCTCCTTTTTCATTTACATCTATCAGTCTTATATTGTTTTTCTTTACATCATCTTCCTGTTGTTGAATTGTTATTTTCTGATTCTTTTTATTTTTTTCAAAGATCTTTCTTGTTCGCTACCTGTAATCTTGCCTTTGAGGTCTGCAAGTCTATCTTACTTTCATTGAGGCATCTTGGCCAACTTTTGATGGAATTTTTCATTTCCTGAATCTCTTTGAATCTGTTTCATGAATTCTGTTTGTTTCTTATATTTTTCATTCAAGGTTTCCATCTTTGTGCAATGTTCCTCTATTTTCTTAACTATGCCCTCTATGAATGTATTCAGCATTTCTTTTATTATGTTTGTTATTTCTTCTTTTATCTGGAAGATTATTTCTGATTTGAGTTCTTTTAGAGCTTCATGGAGTTGTCTCTTTACTTTGGTCACTGTCATTTCAATAGTTTCAGGTGCATGGCTTACGTTTTCTTCTATGTCCATGTCTCCTAGGCTTGCTTGGGATGTAATGGAGGTGTGAAATTACATTTTACTCTTTCTTTTTTTCAATTTCCTATATCCCCTAAGGAACCTGAAGGCCAGGTTTCAGTTGTTTCTTGGGTTGAGAATATCAGCCCATACCACAGAGAGTTTTCCCTGTTGACTGGAAGATGTCAGTCAGACCTTACCAAGTGGCTCCCGGCCACTTGGGTACTCTGGTCAGGGCCAAACTCTGCACAGCTTTCCTAGGGTCCTCTGGTGATGGAGGATGCTAGGCAGGGCCCTACCAGGCTCTGAGAAATATATCAATGCTGTGTGGCTGGATGGAGATAGCCGTGCAAGCTTTCAGCTCATGAGGTGGAGCACAGTTGTTTCTGGGCCAGTCGGGGTCACTGTGTAGTGCTCAGGTAAGCCCACAGAGACCTTCCATAGGGTCCTCCAGTGATGGGGTACCCTCTCACTGGATGGGACCCTACCAGGCTCCAAGCAAGGTGCCAAGGCTGCACAGTTGGATGGAGATCACTGCACAGGCTTCTGACTCCTTAAGTGGAGCACAGGTGGCTCCTGGCCACTCAGAATCATGGGTGGTGCCCAAGTAGGCCCAGGGGGACCTTCTCTAGGGTCCTCTGGTGATAGGGGACCCTGAGAAGTGCCCTACCTAACTCCAAATGACATGCCAAGGCTGCATGGATGGATGGAAATTACTGAGCAGGCTTTTGGCTAATTATTATGTTTTAATATCTAGATCTTTGATATGTATTAATCTGCCATGAAAAGGATAAATTTGAGTCATGTGTAAGAAACTGGATGCACTGTATGACCATGGTACTAAATGAAATAAATGAGACATGCAGCTTAAATATCACATTTTCTCTTATATGAGAAGCCCAAAATATATCTAAAAAGCAAGCTAAAAGATAAATCATAGGAAGCATGGAAATAGATCTTTCTCAAATGGGAAGAGAATCCAGAGATAGATACACAAGAGAGGCAAATGCATTATGTACAAGTGTCAAATTCCCAGAGAAATGTAATCATTAGGTACCACAAACAAATAAGAGGAAGAGAAGGAGTTGCAGGAGGAGGAGGAGCAAGAAAAATAGGAGGAGAAGGAGGAGGAGGGAAAATAAAAATAGAAGAACAAAAGAGAGAAAGGGAGAAGAAAAGGAGGAAGAAAAAAAGAGTTGAAGGAGAATGAAAATTAAATTGATTCTCAAATTTATTTTTTTCTTCCCAGGCATTTCCTACCTATGATATCTTGGTACAGATGGAGTACCTGGACATGGTGGTGAATGAAACTCTCAGATTATACCCGATTGGTAACAGACTATCAAGGATCTGTAAAAAAGATATTGAAGTTAATGGAGTGTTCATTCCCAAAGGGACAGTTGTGATGGTACCGATATATGTTCTTCATCGTGACCCAAAATACTGGAAAAACAGCAAGGATTTCTGCCCTGAAAGGTAAAAGATTCCTAGAAAGCATGTTTTCCCCATTCCCCCTCCCTATGCATAAAATGATTAATTTCAGATATTTTATAAGAATAGAGATGATTCTCTATTAAGAATCTAAAGTAGAGGATTCCTGAGAACATGGCGGACAGACAACAGCAACTGCTGAACGCTCTCTAAAGGCTCGGCTCAGAGGCCAGGAATGATGCGGACTAAGGAGATACGAACCAGTAGAGATATGCTCTGCTGACTCAGGAAAGAACTGGGCTGAGAGAATCCAACTTGGAATACAGCCCTGGCGCTAAAATAGGAACAGAAAAATCTCGGTGTGGAGACTCGACTCCGCGCCATCGGAAACCGCGGTTTGGATTTCCCGCCGCGCGGCGGCCAGCCACCTCCACAGCGGCTCAGCAAGGAGAGACGCGACCCCCGAGCTCTGGGAACGGGCGTCTGGGAACGGTCTCGGAAACGCGACGGGCAGGAAGGAAGGCTGACTGGTGGCGAGGTGAGCGAGGAACTGACTCCCTACCGCAGTCTGACTCCAGCGGAGGATTTTCTGGGCGCGGGCAGTCCTGTAAGAGCAGGGCGCGGCGGCAACTGCAGCCGCGCATTTCCCTCTCGGACGGGATTGGTGAAAGGTGCCTGGCCGGAGGGACGCTGCTCGCGGACTCCCTAGGCTGGCCTAGCCCAGATCCCAGAGCCTGACGGTGGCCCGGAGGAGCCACCGACTTCCGCATAGGCTGCTTCCTCCGCAAGTCTCTGGGGCGCAGCGGTGAGCGGGAACAACTAGCCAGCGCAATTCGATCAAGCTGTAGCTGACAGGCAGGGAAGCCGGGCCTCCTGTGTAAGATTACATTTTATAAGGAACAGAAAATATGGGGAAGGGAAGCAACAAAAAAGGCTCCTCGACCCCCAATCCTGAGAATCAGGCAATAGTGGACACTGTACCAATATACATTAAGCGCCATTTAGAGAGCCTCATAGACCAATTCAGGAATGAAGTTATCAATGACCTGAAGCTAGAAATATGCAGAATAGTTAGAGAAATGCTAAGCACCACCCAGGAAAAAGCAGATGGTGGAGTGGAAGAACAGAAAAAGAGGGGAGAATTGCTTGATGGAGAAAACAGAGAAAGCATTGAGTATGTGAAGCAGGTGCAAAGGGACTATCAAGAAATCAAGAAATATACCCAAGACTGGCATAACAGCTTGAAAGAAACTAAGGACAGACTATCTGAATTGGAGGGCAGACTTGAAACATGGGAGAATGAAATGAAAAACTTCTTAAAAATAACAAAGAAACACACAGCAATAATACAAAGACAAGAAGATGATAAGAGGAGCCATAACTTAAGGATTAAGAACATAAAAGAAGAAGTAGGGACACAAACAAGTGAACTACAAAAGCTACTCACAGAAATAATCCAGGAGAATTTTCCTAATTTAGCAAAAGGTAAAGATACTCAAATGTATGAGGCATACAGGACCCCAGCTACCTACAACCCTAACAGAGAAACACCCAGGCATATAATAATAAAAATTCCAGAAATTCAATACAAGAACAGAATATTAAAAGCTGTAAGAGACAAGAAACAGATCACTTACAAGGGAAGACCCATCAAAATTACAGCAGATTTCTCTTCACAAACCATCAAATCACGAAGAGCATGGGGAGAAATAATTCAAGCTTTGAAAGATAATAATCTACAGCCAAGATTGAGATATCCTGCACAACTGTCCCTGGAAATTGATGGAAAAACGAGGTGCTTCCAAGATAAAGAGGAACTGGGGGAATTTGCAACCACCAATCCAACCCTACAGAAAGTATTGCAGGATATTCTAAAAAAAGAAAAATACAAAGAACCCAGAAATAGGGGCGGGGAGGCCACAACGAATAGAGCAGAGACCAAAACGAAGAAGACAAACTGACAGCTACTGACAGAAAAAGAGCTCAACAGAAATGAGACAGAGAAGATTGGATGATAGGAACAGCTTTTTTTGGAGAAAATGACATCTTAATAGGTAATGCTGATTTAGTACCATCTTGTTTTGAGGTCTCATCTAGCTTTTGTTCTTCTGTCTCCAATGGTCTAAACAGGTTGTATCTTATTGCATTTTACTATGCACGATAATATAAGAAAAAACCTTTTAAAGACAAGGAGATTATACAGAGACCATTGTTCATTTTCTGTTGGTCGATTCTAAATGCTCTGTAATGCTGTTATTCTCTTAAATGGATATACATTGTTTTGATATACTTAATGCTACAGTGTATGAAGTTGTACTCAAGGACTTCAGGGAGGGAGTCAATATGGTAACTATTTTTGGGTCAGGATTAGCTGGTGGTGAAACACTGTTCTGCTTAAATGGTTATGTTTTGATCTGCCCTGTTTCGCTGTTATGCCCTCTTTTTTTCTCAATCTCCACTCCATTATTTACTTTTTTATTTTTACCCATTTAATTACAGGGAAAAATATAGCAGGATATAATATAGTAACCCACTTTGACTTTCTATTATCTCGATTTGAAGCCCTGTATTGCTCTCACCATCTTGTTTTTGACTGAGATTCCTATATTCTGTTTTGCTGGATAGTATCAGGTTCGAAAGTTTAGGCATCAGCTGAGAAGATAATGAGATTCATTACAACGCCCATTCTCGTTAACTTTTATCTACTTTTGAAGACCTACAATGTCTCCAATGTTTTGGTTTTGTCGGTTTTATTCTTTACGGTTTTGTTCAATTGTATTACAACTAATGATATAGGCAATTCTATTAGAAATAGCGGGAGGCATTAGGGTAACCATTGTTGATCACCTTGTATTATGTTTTTATATTATCTATTATGTCCACCCTTTTGACTTGACCGATTCTGTTCTGTTATGTCACATTTGGTTTTACTCTCTTCCAAAAAAGCAACAAGAACCGTGGGAGCAATGAAACCCAAAATGTGTAATAGTCACTGTACAAAAGAGAGGAAAAGAAAGTGCTCTAAACTATATAACTGCATGTATATTTAAAAGTATAAGATAGAAAATGATATCACAGAGTTTTATTGGATCATTGAACAGAACTGTTTGCAGTATCATTGGTGGAATGTCCACTCTACAAGCTTTAATTTTGTGACTTGAACAATTATTTCTAAGATGGCAATATGTAATCCATTAACTAGTGATTTCCTACTGCGCATTTTTTATTCTGTAAATCTGTATAACTTGTACCCCTTCACTGTTTTTCTTTCTTTCTTTTCTTTTCTCCTTAAATAAAAATTAAAAAAAAAAAGAATCAGATAAAAGTGATCTGAATAAGAAAGGAAGAAGTTAAATTATTTTTGTTTGTAGATGTTTATGTATTTTAAATACAAGACCCAAAAGTTCTACCAGAAGACTTGTAGTGGTAGTTTGAAAATTCAGCAAAAATAACAAGGCACTTAATCAATACATAAACATCAATAGCATTCCTGTATGTCAACAATAAACCTACCAAGAAAGAAATCAGAAAAATAATTCCATTAATGATAGCTTCAAAAATACTAAATACACAGAAGTCAATCAAACTAATGAGGTGGAAGACCACTATAATGAAAAGTATATAACTTTGAAGAAATTGAAGAGAACATTAAAAATGCAGTTATCTTTCATTCTTTTCTTTTTGGAGAGGGAGAAAAAGTTTAACTTTTAAATTACATGTTTCAAATTCATACCATATACATTAAGTACTACATAAACTTGTCTTTTGAATAGTCAGTATTTGACTTGGACAATATTTCATTTAAATCTGGAGAAATACAACTTTTTCTGTTTATAAGATCAGAATGATGTCATATTAGAAAATAGGGCAAAATTAGGAATCGTTTTTTCTAACTTGTTATTAGATTAAGAACACAACATATTTTGGATTTGGGGTTGTTGGATATTATGCATCAGATCACATCTTTTGCATGGATTGATCTTATGACAAAAATCACTTGTCTGTGGTGAAAGCCAAAATTAATCTTTGGGTTTATTTTAAACACTGGGTAGTAAAGGAATCCTCTACTACTCTTTTCATCTTAAAAATAGAAAATGTTTTTACCATACACTAGGTGGCATGCTCCAGCCAGCCACATGGTCCTGCATCTCTGAACTCTTCTCAGCCAGATGTGAGTCCCCAGCAGCACCACACTCTGGGGGCATACTCTGCCTAGCCACCTGACTCCCAAAGGTTCTGAACTTCACCCAGCCAGACACAAAGCCCCATTGCCACACTCTGGGGGTGCATCCTTGTTATCTACCTGGATTGCAGCAGTTCTGAACTCCAACGAGCCAGGCACTAGGTCCCAGTGACACACTCTGGGGGTGTGCCTCTGCTAGCCACCTGGGTCCTGAAGTTCAGAAACTCTACTCAGCCAGGTCTACACTCAAGTGACACTGTCCAGGGATGCATGCATGCTAGCTGAATGGAGGATCCAAGCTCTGCCCAGCGCAGCCCAGCATCCCAGAGCAACTCAGCACAGTACATCAGGGCAACACCTGGCAAGTCTCATAGGCCACAGAGCACAAGAATTTGGTGCCACAGTTTGGTGGTGTGCCCTGGCTAACCACAGGTATATCAGAAGATTGAAGCTCTGTCAAGTCCAGCATTCCAGTGCAATCCATTGGGAGGATGCCTGGCCAACCATAGAGCTCACAGAGGAAAATTACAAAGTGAAAGAGCAAGATGCAGTTTTAGTCCTCCAACCCACTGAGAACAAACCCAAGAGACACTGAAGTGGAAGATACTGGAAATTGCACAACTGAACTTTCTGAAATGATGTAACTGAAGTAAACAAACAACTCAAGGAAGCTATAAAGGAAATCAGATAAGAAATAATCTCTCAGGTAAAAAATGAAATAACAAACATTATGAAAGAAATGTGTGTATCTAAAGAAGATCTACATAAAAATAGAGGAACATAAGAAAATTATGGAAATCTTTAATGAACAATGTAAGACAGAACTAGAATGCATGAGACAGATTCAAAGGGATATTCAGGAAATTAAAAATTCCACTAAAAGCTGGCAAAAACACTTGAATGAAGCTGAATATAGACTCTCAGACTTTAAAGACAGAATAGAAGCTTATGATCATGAAAGAAAAGATCTCTTAAAAATAACAAGGAACCAGTAAATAACAATTCAACAGTTGCAAGATGATGCAAAGAGAAACAATATAAGACTAATAAGTGTCAACAAAAAAGCAGGGGTCATCACAAATGACATACAAAGACTATTTACAGAAATAATGGCAGGAAATTTTCCAAACATGAGAAGAGAATCTGATATGCAGTACACAGACTCAATTAACCATAACCAAAATAAGTCTTCACCCAGACATATAATAATTAAGAGCTCAGAAATTCAGCGCAAGAAGAGGATACTGAAAGATGCCAGAGAAACAAAATAGATTACCTATGAAGGAAAGCCTATCAGAATTACAGCAGACTTCTCAATACAAATCTTCAAGTTAAGAAGAGCGTAGAGTGAAGTATTTCAGGTCCTAAAAGAAAACAACTTTCAACCCAGATTGATGTACCCTGAAAAACTATCTTTGAAAATTGGTGGAGAAATAAGTTACTTCCATAACAAAGAACAACTGAAGAAATACATGGCCACCAAACTTACATGACTGATAAACACTCTACAAAGAGACAAAGATAACTACAATTCCAACAACAACAGCAGAAGGAAACCAGTAAGGGCAACCAATTAAACAAAAAAGTAGAAAACCAAAACCAAGAAGATAACATGACAGTGATAAGTCAGTACATATCAGTCATATCCATAAATGTAAGTGGTCTCAATTCACCAATAAAAAGAAACACACTGGCAGAATGGATTAAGAAACAAAATCCAACAATATGCTATGTACAAGAGGCACATTTAACTCAAAAGGACCACAGACCAAAAGTCAAAGGATGGAAAACAATTCTATGTGCAACAGGAATCCAGAAAAAAACAGGGGTAACTATTCTGTTTGCAGACAATGTGAATTTCAAACCAAGAATGATCAAAAAAGATAAAGAAGGTCACTACATACTTGATCAGGGAAAACTTGAAGAGGAAGGGAGTACAATCATAAATATATATGCACCAAATATGGGAGCACCCACTCATGTAACACAAATCTTAATAGACACGAAAAATTAAATAAATAAAATGTAGTTATAACTGGGGATCTTAATACCCCATTGTCACAAAAAGACAGATCAACCAAACAAAAAATCAACAAAGAAATAACAGAACTGAATCAAACTTGTGAACAAATGGACTTAGTAGATGTGTACTGAGTGCTCTACCCAACATCAGCATACACATTCTTTTCAGCTGCACATGGATCATTTTCTAAAAAGGCTCATATAGTTGCCCACAGAACATGCTCAAGGGAACTGAAGTAATTCCATGTATATTATCTGACCACAGTGCATTAAAATTAG